ATACTAGTCTCCAAGTAAATATCTTCAATATCCACAATCTTAGATGTACCACTGTTTCCCATTATAACATTACCAAAATCACCAGCAGTGTAAGACCTGAAGAAATCACCATGAGAAGTAATATGAAATGAAGCACCAGAGTCAATTACCCAGTTACTGTCCTGAGTTGCAAGACTGACACAACAATCATCACAAACAATAATGATATTATCTTCAGCAGCAATTGTATTGGTCTCTTTCTCATTTTTCTTCCTTTCATTATGTTCTCGCTTCCAAAACCTGCACTCTTTCTTCATGTGACATAGTCTGTTATAGTGGAAACATTCGATATCTATTCTAGACTTGGATATTTCTCTATAACCATATGGATTTCTACTATGACTTCTTCGACGACTTTCTTATTTTTTAGTAACAAATGCCATAAAAGTAGATTCATCATGTTCTTTCCTTCTGGCATCTTCATTTAGCAAACTGTCTTTAACCATATCTATAGTTAGAGTCTCATCTGACATGGAGTTACAAATTGTCACCACATACGTTTCTCAACTTTCTGGTAAAGAGCTGAGAAATAGTAATCCTTGCATCTCATCATCTATATTCATTTTCATAGCAACAAGCTCGTTTGCAAGACTCTGAAATAGGCTTATGTGCTCAGCAATGTTACCATCATCTTTATACTTCAAATTTACAAACCTTCTGAGGAGAGAAATTCTATTTCCCACTGTCTTTTTCGCAAAGAGGTTTTCTAACCTTCGCCAAACAACATCAGCTCTGGTTTCATTTGAAATATACTCATGCAAGTTTATATCCATCCATCTTCTAATATAGGCAATAGCTTTTCTATGTTGAACTTCTCATTCTTTATCGTCTATAGTAGAAGGTTTATCTTTAACCTTGATGAGCTTATACAAATCTTTACAATAAAGCAAATCTTCCATCGTACGCCTCCAAGTGGAATAGTTTGAGAAGTTCAATTTAATCATACCATCTGACTGCTCCAATCACATAAGAAAAAACTAGCACAAAATAATCTTTTTGACCTGATATCACTTGTTGGGAAATTCCTGTTAAAGCGAAATAATTCTTTTCCCTCTATGTGTATTAAAATGGGTTCCTCATCAAAATACCAACTTGATATCAAAATGTAAATATCAACAAGCATAGTATAAATAATAAATCAATCACACAGTAAGATCAAAATTTTAATGTGGAAAACTCAATGTGAGAAAAACCATGGGACCGTAGTCCACCTCAAACTTCCACTATCAATAGTAATGATAATAGGTTTAGAGTAAATCTTCCCTAGAATAACCAGAGGATCACAATAACATCAAGAACATAGATCTTGGTTCAAAAATAGTAAATCATCATCACATTAGATAGATCTTATCGAAATAGAATTCTAGATCTCACAAAAGTGGGTATAGCAAGAAAGTATCTCAGAGAGGGTAAACCGTAGATCAACACCGTTAGGATTGTAGAGCTTACGACAAGAATTCTTAGTATAAAATTTGGATCACAACTGATGACGTTTGGCCACTGATCGTCAAGCAGAAAACTTAAGATCCTAATTGTTTTCTTTTCTTTTCTTTCTCTGGCTTTTCTTTCACCATGCGCCGCTACAGTTCGCTGCTGCACGCACGCTAACTCTTTGTTGCCCTCATCTCTTTCTCTTTCTTCTTTTTCTCTCTTTGTTATTTCCTCTCGCTGTGCGTTGCTGTTCTCTCTCTGCACACATGCCGCTGCATGCGCTCGCTACCGTCAGACTGCTACACAAACACTTGCACGTCATTCTCTCGTTTTTCTGTCTTATCTCGCATTTTTCTCTTTTAATTATTGATTTGGACTTATTGCCCAAATTGTCCAAGCCCACGTATGCGCCAGACCCAACGTTGTATAATGCGTGATTAGCATAAGAACTTTATAATTAATTATGTATTCGTGAATAGTGACACAAATTAATCATCAAGGAAGCCCACTTAAAGCCCAACTAAGAATGAGCCGACGCAGATATAAAGCATTAGGTGATCTGTTCGATGGTAAGTTCCGGAGCCCATTTAAGCCCCAAATAAATCCTCCCTGTTCCTGCCACTCCGACGAAGGCCATGCTAGGCCGTTGCGGTCGTCTCCTCCTCGATGTCGGGACGCATTTGATCGAAACCCTAACTCCTTCTTTGGCTCGGGGTCAACCTCCAGACCGTCGGCATCCGTGGTCTCCGCACCAAGCCCTGTCATTTGACCTCTCTCTTGGACGTTCCCTCTTGCTCGATTTGGCTTTGTTGT